AGGAGAAGGTCATGTAAAGGTAGAGCTGATAGAGATGTTGCCACAAGCCAAGGAAAACAAGAAGTCATGAGAAACTGGAAGAAGAAAGGTGTAGATTCTTTGCTAGAGTCTCTAAAGAGAGTGCAGCCTTGCAAGCTTGTTGATCTTGGACTCTGGGTCTCCAGAAGAGTGAGAAGATAAATTTTTGTTGTTTTAAGCCACCTGGTTTGTGGTAAGTTGTTACTACAGCCACAGGAATCTAAGACATATTTTGGTATTGGGAAGTGGGGTGCTGCTATAACAAATGCCTAAAAATGTATAAGTAGTTTTAGGATTGGATAATGGGTAGAGGCTGGAAGAATTTTGAGGCACATAATATAAAAAGACTACATGGTCTTAAACAGATTGTGGTAGAACCACAAACATTAAAGGCAATTCTGGTAAGAGTTCAGAAAGAAGTGATGAGAAGGCTTCTCTAGTCTTAGAGTATATGTATATATTGTCATGAACAGAATCTTGATAGAAAAATGAATGTCAAAGGAGCTTCTGGTGAGGACTCAGAGAGAAGTTAACATACTACTGAAAATTGGAGTGAAGGCAATCCTGGCCATATAGTTACAAAAAGCTTAGTTGAACTGTCTCCTATAGTTGTGTGGAAAAGAGAACCTGTAAATGATAAACTTGGATATTTAGCTGAGGAGATTTCCGGGCAAAGTGTTGAAGGTATGACCTGGTTTCCTCTTGCTGCTTAGAGTAAAATGGAAGAGGAAAGAGATAAATTGAGAGAAGAATTGTTAAGTAAAAACAAAACAACAACAAAAAACAGAACCTGATGATTTGGGCAATTCTGAGCTTATCCAGATTGCAAAATATGTTAAAATTAGGATATGCATTATTAGGAAAGTGTGCTCTGGAGAGAAGGTAAAAGATATAGCTTGACAACTTCAGCCAGTTTTCAAGAGATGAAATGTGTGACTCATAGATCCACTCAACTGTCTCAACAGAAGCCAATAATGGAGATGGGCAAGAAAGATTTGTGGAGGACTCTCTTATCTAATGGTATGATTCAATATGACACACACAAGAGACATACAGATTGTGTGTGTGTGTGTGTGTGTGTGTGTCTGTGTTTCACACAGTGTTTTTGAGAATGTTATGCCAGCAGAAACACTTTCAGATTGAACTGAAAGGGGCAGAGACAATACAAAATGAAAGAAGAGTGTCGGACTCCCAAAAACTCTACAGGCAGGAAATGGGCTGATATGATTATTCATCTGCAAGCACATTCTACCCTTCAAGAAAAAGGAAGGATCGCCACAAGGGAAGAGTCCCAAGTGCAGAGGCAGAGGCACAAGTTACAGGCACAGAGGCAGAGGTGCAGGTCTCAAGCCCAGAGGCAGAGGTCCAAGCCATCAGCCCAGAAGGCAGAGCTGCAGGTCCAAAGGCAGAATTTTGAGCCAAAGAGGATCATTCCCAGCCCTTGAAAACTAATGGAATTTGCTGTGTTGGGTTTAGAAATTGCTTGGAACCAGCAAGTCCTCTCTATCTTCCACTTTCTCCTTTTTGGAATAGGGATGTCTGTATCTGTTATCCCATGTCTGCCCCATCACTGGATTTTAGAAGCAGATAACATGTTTTCTAGTTACATAGGTCTACACATGGAGAGGAATTTCAAGCCAGGATGGATCATACCCAGAATCTCTCCCATCCTTGATGAGATCTGGAACTTTTAAGATGATGAGTCTTAGCAGGGACTTTGGAGTTAAGATTTGGTGCAATAATGGGTTAAGGCATTTCGGGATATTGAGATGGGATGAATGTGCTTTGCACATGGGTTGGACATGGCATTTTGAGGACCAGAGGGAAAAGTGTAGTGAGTTAAATGGTGGCCCTCCAAAAGATATGTTGATGACCTAATCCTGGAACCTGTAAATGTTACCTTATATGGCAAAAGCTATAAGTAAGTACCTTGAAACAAGTAGTTTATCCTGGCTTATCCAGGTGAGCCCTAAATACAATCATATGTATCATTATAAAAAAGAAGCAGAGGGAGTTTTGAGTTGGACATAGAGAAGAAGAGGAGTCAATGTGACCACCAAGGCAGAGACTGAAGTGATGTGGCCACAAGTCAAGGAATGATTACAGCCACCAGAGCCTGGAAGAGGCAAGGAAAGGATTTTCCCCTCTGGAGCTTCCATAGGGAACACGACCCTCCTGACATGTTGATTTCAAATTTCTGGCCTCTAGAACTATGAGAGAATAAATTTCCATTCCGTTAAGACATCAAGTGGTGGTAATTTGTTATAGCAGCCACAGGAAACTAAAGCACTAATAAATATTTTAAGGGTTTTACACATTTTTTTAAAACATTCTGGAAAAAAATCTGCATAAATGATGCTTCTCACATGTGGCAGTAATAAACCCAAAATAAGAATTTAGTATTACTTGGGTCTATACATAAATGCCACTGTGTATTATTTTAGTGATACCTTCTATGTAAAACAAAATAATAAATGGCTAGAGCAGGACCATTATAAACCTGGGAAGTATATCCTTTAACTTAATTATTAGAACTTCATGAAGGAGCCTGAAAGAGTTTTTTAAACTATGTGGAAAGTGATTAGTCTAAATACAAACATATAATTTATCAATAATAGTTCTTCGTTCTTTTTCACAAACTAAAAAAATAAGACAAGTTCACATCTGGAAAAGGTGAAACACATCAGTATTTTTACCCTTCCAGCCTGATAACAAGCATGTTAAAATGCCCCCAAATTTTAGTTTGGGTTAGCATTTCAAAATACATTTTCTAACAACCTGAAAAGCCATCAAAAGACTCAAAGAAGCTGTATCACAAAGATTTCCAAAAAGACTTTATGAAGTAAAAAATACACACATTAGGCTTATATATAAGTTAGTAGAATCTAAACTTTTTTTGTTTTAAAAAAAAGTGTGACATTGATATGTCCCTTAAAGTTATATGTGTGCATGTGTGTGTTTAAGATAGGATAAAATTGTAAAATCTCAGATACTATTACTCTTTTTGATTTCTCTATTATAGCAGCTTCAGAGATTTTTGAAATATAATACCCAAGTCAGAATGCATTGGAGGGAAAGGCAGCTGTTTGAATCATTATACATCTATATAAAGAAATATGTAAGCTGTTGGTCACTTGTTTATACTTTTTCAGATAGTGACTTGCCAAGCAAGTTGTTTGTTCTTTCTGAACGTCTATAATGTGCTGTGGAGGACTACAAATAGGATTTTCTATATATGAAATGTACATATAAGAAATCTATTACAATAATGATAATCTTCTGCATGAATTAGTCTTAAAATTGTACTCCAGAGAAGTTATACTACATTATTTTAATGCATATCTCAATAGACAAATTAAGCATACCTTTTACTCTTTCATTTATTTAAGGAAAATGGAGAGCTTGATTTTCCCCCTCAAGTTGTTTTGGCAGCATCATTTATTTTGTTAATATAATGTAAACCCACCAGCCACTCCTCGGAAGGAAGATTGGGCAATCTAATTCTGTAGAGATACTGCCTTGGAAACCCAAGGAGGGGTCGCTATGAGTCGGGATCGACTCAATGGCAGTGAGTTTTTTTAGTTTAAGTGTGATGATGATTGAGTTCACTTAGCTACTGGGACATGGAATTATTGTAGCAAGAGATATAAATATATACACATATATACACATACATACATAGAATTTCTTTTTTACTTCTTCAGACCACCTAAGCAGAATTGAAAAGGGGCACAGAAAGTTAGAGAAAACAATTGACCTTTCAGACAATTTTCTGCTGCCTCTTGTAGAGAGAGTTTTTTTTTTTTCTTTCTCAGGTCTTCTACAACTCTATTCACTGACTTTGAGGGGGTCTAGGGAGAAAGAAGCAGTAGAAGAGGAAATGAACCACAGAATACAGGAATCAATATTTGTGTTTAAAATCTAAATAAAGGTAATAGAATTTTCATATTCTTCCCTAGCATAGACATTAAAATGTGATATTTTTCTGAAAAATATCCATATAAAGTATTTGTATAAAGTAGATATATGTGCATAATTAGAAAATACTTCTTTAAATAAAGTTTAAATCACTTTCTGTATACTGATTCTGTTAAACTTTGGTTTATTTTTAGCAATGATAAGTACCTGCAATATCATGCTGTAACTCTAGATTAATGATAAGTTTAATTTCAGCCAAAGTAAATGAATCTATCAGCTTTCACTTGAGAGAAGATTCTAAATAACTTAACTGGGGCTAAGCAGAGCTTTTTTTGAATTCACAAAATGGCTCCTCTTAGTGTGCACAATATTAGTGCCTATCCAAAATCATGAGGAGCTCTGGTGGCATAGTGCCTAAGGCACTTGACTGCTAACCAGAAGGCTGCCAGTTCAAACCCACCAGCCACTCCTCAGAAGGAATGTTGGGCAATCTACTTCCATAATGATACCACCTCGGAAACCCAAGGAGGGGTTGTTACGAGTCAGGTCCGACTCAACGGCACATAACAACGACAACAACAACATCCAAAATCATAAACATGCATGTTTTTGTTGGTCTTTATATACATATATGTATATGACAGGGATCAGAACCATACACAGAATAATTCTTTCTTTCTAGTCTTTTTCTTCTGTCCACCTTTTTCACTTGATGACCTGCATGTTTGAGTAACTTTGTAAATTTTTGACAAACTGAATGTTTTTGAACAGCCTTATTGCTCTTCAATCTCTTACACTTTCATCATCACCATCAGATCACAAACAATAACAAATAACAGATATTGATACAGTAAAAAGTAACACACTTTTTTTATAATCCTGATAATTGTGTTCATATTAGTGTAATTATGGGAGGAGTCTTACAGTAGTTTTACAAATGCACACTATTTCAAACAGCTTAGCTTGATCCTGGCAGAAACACAATTATTTCCTCTCCATCCCTTGAATGAATGTTTTCTTCTTTTGTTTACTTAAATATTTTTCATACTCTTTGGCATCAGGAATCACTTAGATGAGATAACTCCATTGTGGCGAGAACGTGACCTTTCCAAAGGTACCCGTCTATTATCTGTAAGACAAAGAGAAAAAGCACCAAAAATATAGTGAGTTTTAGACCTCGGCTATTACAAAATGTTGGGTCAAGAGATTTTCAAATAGTCCTGAAAAATTACTACAAATGAATATGTAAATAATTAACAAGGAGCCTAGATCTGTGGAGTTCATACTGTAGCTGCCAAGCTGAGCTCAAGAGTTCTACAATCAGCAATAAATTACTTTCTTGGTAAGTGAAGTCAGAGTGGTAAAAGAAATGGAAGAATTCTCTCAAGCATAGTTCCCTTGGAAATAGCAGGCGAAAACAAAATTCCTTGGTAAAGATGTTAAATCGAAAGGATCTATATACAATGTCTTTTGTCAGAAAGCACTTCAATTCCCCATGAGTTTTCAGTCTGTATGTTGGCTACCTCTAGGGGCACCAGTATGGGCAGAGTAAACCAGTTTTTATTTTTTATAATGATTGCAATATGTGGCAATCAAACCAGCTACCAAGTCTTTGCCTGATTGTGTGATGTAAACAAATTCAATACATTAGATAGTCATTATGGGAATGAATTATGAATAAATCCCATTCTCCCCACCCATCACTGGAAAAATAATCACTGTAGAGATAACTGTTGGCACCAAGCTCGGAAAGCAAAGTTTAAAAGCATTGAAAGTTGCTGAAAATAGTTTTAGCATTAATAGGTAAAAGGTTTACAGCGCTGCATTGCAATGATCACTACTATGTTATTATCACCTCTGTTTTATGCTCAGCTTAAATGCAATTGATGTGGGTGAAAATCCCTCTCTGAAAAAAAGCATAATATACTTAGATTCTCTATTTAGAGTAAGACTGTTGTTGTTGTTGTTGTGTGCCGTCAAGTCAGCCCTGACTCATAGCGACCCCTCCTTGGGTTTCCGAGGCAGTATCACTACAGATAGTAGGATTGCCCAACCTTCCTTCCGAGGAGTGGCTGGTGGGTTTGAACCGCCAGCCTTCTGGTGAGCAGGCAAGTGTCTTAGCCACTATGCTACCAGAGCTCCCACTAGGTCCCTAGAAATAATGACAACCACTAGCACTTACATAAATGCTAACACTTTACACTCGTTAATTTGCTAATTCACACAACATCCCCGGGAGGTAAGCCCATTTCATTCTATCCTATTATCTCTGCTTTAGTGATGAAGGTTACACAGCAAATCAATGGTATGACAGGGGATTATAAGGCAAAGTTAATGCCTGAATGTCAGGCTTGTTTTTTTAGGAGGAAGATGTTGGGGCCTCCCAAGCTACTACTCATTTTTTCCCTAAGAAGATGTCCAGTACATACACCCTGCCTGTCACATGGAGAGGATGAAGTAAGAAGTGCTGAGGTTTTGCCATGGTGTCTTTCTTGTTGGTATTAGCATCTCTTGAATGATTCCTGGTAGTCTGTGATCAGTACCCAGAGCAAAGGTAACTGGCCCCCATGACCTTGGCCTCATTAATAACATGGCATGAGTGCACTGAGCCAACCAACCATAAGCTTAAACCTTACAGAGCACTTTATAATGCAATGATATCACTGAGAGGTGAGAAAGAAGGAGGCATTTTCTCTACACAGAGAAATATCTGAATGATGGAGTATTTGGGTATCTGATACCATTGTTAAAAATCCATTATTTAGTTTGTGATATGGATCACAATTCAGCTAAAAATGTGAAGATAGCATTCCTGGATAAAGGGCTTATAACTTAGATGCCACTAGTTTGCATATAGATTGGTTTGGGACTTCACAGAAAATATTAAAAAATGAGATTATAATATAATGGTTATCACTACATTGCTAGCATTTAAACATGCAGGGTTAAAGCGATCAGAAATGAGACTGTTGGTAGCATTCCCAAAGTCATCAGGTATCTGCACTTCACCCCAGAAATGCCACTGTTACCCCAAATTATCACTGCCCACTGGATCCAAGAGAAGAGTAACATCCAAAAACCCAGGCTGGCAGCATTAAATGATGTGATGTGAGGATTCACATCAATCTGCAACTTACCGGTGACATCCTGTGTAAGAAAATAAAGATATTTTCAGGTCAAAATGGACTAAAGAAAGGACATGGAAGCTTTTAGAAGGCAGGATGAGCAATGGTCCAGGGCCAAAAGCTAGCTCTTGGCATGCACAAAAGAGAATTATTCTGTATTTTCTTCCTTCCTTCCTTGTTTTCTCCCTTCTTTTTTTGGGGGGGGGGCAAATTAATGAGTTAATTCTGAAAAGAGGTAATTTTGCAAAAGTCACCACTTATATTTAAAACATTTTTTTTTACTATTTACATTTTTGAAATGCCAGCCTACAATTTTATTGATGAAAACATGCCATTAGAAACACTTTGATTCCAACTCACAGCAACATATAGGACAGAGTAGAACTGCCCCATAGGGTTTCCTAAACTGAAATCTTTAAGGGAGCAGATCACCAGATCTTTCTCCTGGGGAGTGGTTGATGTTTCAGTTAGCAGTCGAGCACTTAACCATTGGGCCACCAGGGCTCCTTACAAAAATGCCTAGAGAGTCTCTGTCTTCATTGTCTCAGATTTCAAGAAAGATTTCTATTATTTGCAAACACAAGGATTAATTCAGCACTAAAGCCTGAGATGTCAGTCCCAAGATGTACCTTCCAAATTCAAATTGTTTTTGAGTATATATACTCTAATCAATTCTCTTTGGCCATCAAAGGTTTGTCTTTGAAATGTACCCCATGTGAAGATGAACAGATTCTGATATTACAGAAGGCATCCTGGTCAAAGCATGAAGTTGAGGAGCAAGACATTATACAAAATATGCATCCTATTGAGGAAGGGTGGCCAAACTAAAATAAAATTCAAATCTTTCACTAAAAAAGAAATTAAATATGTAGCCCAGCTTTAATATGTTCTGCATACTCTGAAAATCAGCTTATCCAGCTCAAACCTATGTCAAAGTTTTCCACACTCTCATAAGAGCAAGAAGGAGCACTAGTGCTGCAATGGTTAAAACGCTTGGCTGCTAACTCAAAGGTTGGCTGTTCGAACTCACCAGCCACTCCATGGGAGAAAGACACAGTAGTCTGTGTCTGTAAAGATTTACAGCCTTGGAAATGATATGAGGCAGCTCTACTCTGTCCTATAAGATTGCTATGAGTTGGAATTGACTCAGGGGCAGTAGGGTTTATGTTATAAGAGCAAGAAGTTTTATGCTTAATCTAAGCATACACTCATTTGGTATTCATTTCAAAACCTCCCCAACAAAATTCTGTAGTGGATGGATTAAACCTATTATTGAATGGCTCCAGAATTCATCCATCCAATCATTTATTCAGCAACTATGTACAAAGCACAAAGTCCATGAAATCTGTGAATGTCACAAAGTTTCAGATCCACAGCTGAATCTACTACATTAATTTCCCTCTTACTGAAAATTTTCTCAAATGAAATAACTGAGGAATAAGTACATCCTACAAAAAGTTTAAACAGAAAGCGATGTTATATAGACGAAAAGACTCAAGCCTGTAGTGTGAAACCTGGGAATGTGCAATTAATCCTCTAACAGAGTGAGTATATTACCCAAGGTAAAAGGCTGTGTCTTACATACTGCATGACTAGGTCAATGTAGGATTATGGAAACTGTGATAAAAAGTCCATGTCCATTATTCATTTCCCTTCAGGTTAGGTGTCCATCTGTGGTCTATAGAAGAACTATTTTCTCCCCAGTGCTTCACAGATGTGTAGATGTATCAGTGTTGACCAAACATAATATAAAATGGGACCACAGACAGGAATCGAGCCTTACACTAGTCCCTTACAGCAGGATAACATAAAATACACCCAGTATACACTGCACCTTGTGTAACAAAATATCTCACTTTAATTGAAAAATAATTGGCTAGCCAACAAAGTAAATAAACCCTCTGTCCTCTCCAATGAGCTTTCCAGAAAACAAAGCTCTTCAAAAGAGATCATGCGGCAGATTTAGCATCCATGAGTAGGACTATACAGCTTAGGCTAAGGAGACAAGATAACTTTAGGTTGCTTCCCTAAATGTCCGTTGAGTATTCTTTGCATCCTGAACACTGATGAAAGATAATTTATGTTAGACTATTATACTGAAATTATCTTATATGAACATATTTTCCCCTTTGTGTTCCATAATTTCAAAGCTGTTTCTATTTTTCTTTTTCCTGAGTTGGATATAGTTTCTCACTTACTAGAAATATCTGGAAGATGGCAGCCTAATTAGATTTGGGACTAATCTCTTGGTGGAGGTCAGCTAATTCTTCTATTAGTTGACCAGGTCCATTCTCCTTACTGTTACCAGAATACAAAAACCAAAGCAAATCCGCAGCCATCGAGTTGGTACCAAGTCATAGTGAACCTATAGGACAGAGCAGAACTGCCCCATAAGGTCTCCAAGGCTGTAAATCTTTACAGAAGCTGACAACCTCAACTTTCTCCCATGGAGTGGCTGATGGGTTCAAACTGCCAAACTTTTGGTTAGTAGTCAAAAGCACTGCACCACCAGAGCTCCTCGTTACTAGAATAGGGCCTACAAAACTATGTTGAGCTGAAATAGTCTATGCAATTTAGTGTTCTACTTTTTCATTTAATATTGCATTGTAGAAATTTTCCATGTCATTAAACTTCTGGAAACTTTATATTGAAAACATGGTTTTTAATGGCCAAATTACTATTCTATTACATAAATATACCACAATTTAGTTAACCATTTGTTCACTGCAGGACATTTAAGTTGCTCCCAGTATTTTACTCTTATGAACAGCATAGGAATGAACATCCCTCTAGCTACCACCTTACATATGCATTGTATGGAAGCAGCATTGCTATATCAAAGGGCATGTAAAATTGAGTCCAAATGTCCTCCAGAACTATATTAAATACCAGTTGGGAGTATATGAGTGTGTCTACCTTACTTCATTCTTAAGCATTATTTTTCTAAAAATGCACTAATATGAAAAGTAAAACAAGGCATCTGGTTCTGTCTTTTTGCATTTCT